GGGTGGGGGGATTCTTTGCTTGTTGTTCAAAGCAGCACTCGGAAATAGTTCATGTCTCTTACGACAAACATGGGTTGGTGAAGATCAATTCTAACCCGGATCTCCACATGGGCCTCCAGGATGTTTCCTTCCATTGTTGAAATACAGGTTTAATCAAACTGTTCTCGTGGAACATTTGATGATAGATCCATTGGTATACAGTAACACTCCGTAAATCCGGACTGTGGCGTTCTGGGTGAAACTGTCAGGATAATCGATTCTCCCGATAAACTAGTCGCTGCTAAATAGAAATGTCCCTTTAACTGATAAGTCGTTTCCAATTGTAATCGTCGGAAAGGCGGGGTTTCCGGATTATCAGTGTCCGGACTGATGAGGTTTCACTGTACATGCTCTACACATCAAACACAGTCAACAGAAGAGCAGCCAAGAGCAAAACGTCTCTGGCATGCGTCACGTGACTTGTCAACATTCAGCTGATACTGTGAAGAGGCATACTGTTTAATGGGCGTCGGAACACTCACGCATGCTATCATATAGATATTAACACAATTATATTCACGTTAACGTTTGATAGTGAAATCCTGTGAAGTTTTCGAGGATAGTACAAGCATGATCATCCACATCATCCGTTTCCGTTTCACAAATATTCATATTTGAAAATCGATATTCTAAGCATTCAACTCAATCAGATATGCGCCAGGAAAGCGAGATACTTTCAACGTGGGCGCATGACAGGAGAGGTGACTTCAACGTTCCCTCCATGTCTAGCAGTATTCCTGCAGCTCCAGCTGGGTGCCTCCATTTCACAACGTTTGAAGTACAACCGAGCCTGCTTTATCTATCAAGATTTCAAAATGTATCATTCACCTCTTGCTCAAAAGTTGTTAAATCAGAGTTAATTATAAGTCAGCGCCTGACCAAAGCTTTCAAAACGGTTTATGATAGGCACGTGGACATTTCAAAATTTGACGCATCAAAGACACAATTGATGTTTGATGCAGTTCCTTATTTTGACGTGTACCATATGCTCCCTTGTTTTTTCAGGTGAACAATTGACTTGCCTTTACGTGTGTTTGTGACGGGAGCGGTGGGGCAGGATACGCTCATTTCGCGAGCTGCTGGTATCATCACTGTTTGACACTGCCGCATGCTCATAACATAGTCGGAATCGTACCATGGACTCTGACGTTAGCAGAGATTTCTCCTGATTAGGGATATAGATCTAGTTGGCCGGAGTGAAGAATTTATGTTGGCCCACTCATCGTGCAAAATGGGGCCCCTAAGGTCCAGGCAACTGTTTGTAGTGTCACCTCACCCTGGGTCTACTTTTAATTAAATAAAATATTGAAATTCAGTGAAATATGTGTTTGATAGTTTCACCTGAAAAAAACCCAATTAAGCTATCAGCTGAAAGTTAGACAGAATACGTTGGAATGGTTTGTTTGCAATATATCCATATTTGAAATTTTGAAATCTTACATATCTGTATCCTTTTGATATTATACGTCTGTGATCACTAATGTCAACAGGTCACTGTGACCCAGACAAAATCATGAGTGAATTAAAAAAAATGACAGCAACGGGGTCTTATCGCTCTGTCCAGCAGGGGATATGGCAAATAAATGTCTTTGGATTAAACTGATAAAATTATTCCAGCTAACCACACAAGAAATATGGCAGCAGTCACGAATCTGTTTCAGAGAGCAGTACACTTGTGGGGCGGACATGCGTGATAGATGTCGGGATAATCATTCCCGAGAACCATCTACCGTATCCACACAGGCTCGTATGACAATATCACACACAGATATATCGTTTCCATTAGTTTCCACACTAATGTCCACTGAAACCAACCTTCAACCTTCACAAGGCCTCTGAAGGTCAAGGTCAAACGGTGGGATTTCCTTGCGTCCCTGTTGTGTTGATTCCTGGCTCTGTGTGTCTCGGATTGTCCGACATCCGAGTGCTACAATGAGTGGACAGAAGGCTGTGCTGATTGCAGTGGACGGCAGTGTGCACTCCGAGCGTGCATTTGACTGTGAGTATTAGTTGTGTCAGAGGCCATAGAATAGACTTAGTTTGTGGTCCCTCGTTGTGTGAACCTTCTGTTGTCTGTCGTTATCAGCTGCTAATCGATGAGGAAGTTCCTGCGAGGAGTTGTTTCACTGATGACCCATCAGCTGTCTGTTGTGGTCAGAATTAACGAATTTGCAGTTGTCTTGTTTCAATTTGACACGTGTAATGTACATGTTTTGTTGTAAGGATTGACCCATATGTATTGTGCAACATTTCTGTTAACAGAAATTGACACACATGATCTGAATATAGAACTGCTTGCGTCAAGTGATCTGAGCACAGTGCCGATTGTGGCATGACAGATCGAGCAAAGTCCCACTTGTGTCACGTTGGACCGGGCATAGTCCTAATGTGGCATGGTGTATCGAGCATAATCCCGATTGTGTCATAGTGACCCGAACATTGTCCCACTTGTGACGTGATTGATCGAGCATAATCCCGATTGTGTCATGGTGACCCGAACATAGTCTGGCTTATGTCATAAAGGACCGAACATAGTCCCGATTGTGTCATGGTGGACCGAATATAATCCCAATTGTGCCATGGTAAACCGAGCATAGTCCCTATTTTGTCATTGGGGACCGTGAATAGTCCCGCTTGTGTCATGGTGGACCGAGCTTAGTCTGACTTGTGTCATGGTGGACCGAGCATAGTCTGACTTCCGTCATGGTGGAGCGAGCATAGTCCAGCTTCTGTCATGGTGGACCGAGCATAGGCTGACTTTTGTCATGGTGGAGCGAGCAAAGTCCCGCTTGTGTCATGGTGGTTCGGGCATAATCCCGATTGTGTCATGGTGGACTGAGCATGGTCACGAGTGTCATGGTGGACCGTGCATGGTCCCGATTGTGTCATGGTGGATGGAGCATAGTCCCGATTGTGTCATGGTGGACCGTGCATGGTCCCGATTGTGTCATGGTGGATGGAGCATAGTCCCGCTTGTGTCATGGTGCATGATCCCGATTGTGTCATGGTGCACAGAGCATAGTCCCGATTGTGTCATGGTGGATGGAACATAGTCCCCAATGTGTCATGGTGCACAGTGCATGGTCCCGATTGTGTCATGGTGGATGGAGCATGTTCCCGATTTTGTCATGGTGCACAGAGCATAATCCCGATTGTGTCATGGTGGATGGAGCATGTTCCCGATTTTGTCATGGTGCACAGAGCATGGACCCGATTGTGTCATGGTGGATGGAGCATAGTCCCGATTGTGTCATGGTGCATAGAGCATAATCCCGATTGTGTCATGGTGGATGGAGCATAGTCCCGATTGTGTCATGGTGGATGGAGCATAGTCCCGATTGTGTAATGGTGGATGGAGCATAGTCCCGATTGTGTCATGGTGGATGGAGCATAATCCCGATTGTGTAATGGTGGATGGAGCATAGTCCCGATTGTGTAATGATGGATGGAGCATAGTCCCGATTTTGTCATGGTGCACAGAGCATGGTCCCGATTGTGTCATGGTGCACAGAGCATAGTCCCGATTGTGTCATGATGGATGGAGCATAGTCCCGATTGTGTCATGGTGAATGGAGCATAGTCCCGGTTGTGTAATGGTGGATGGAGCATAATCCCGATTGTGTCATGATGGATGGAGCATAGTCCCGATTGTGTCATGGTGGATGGAGCATAGTCCCGATTGTGTCATGGTGCATAGAGCATAATCCCGATTGTGTAATGGTGGATGGAGCATAGTCCCGATTGTGTCATGGTGCATAGAGCATAATCCCGATTGTGTAATGATGGATGGAGCATAGTCCCGATTGTGTAATGATGGATGGAGCATAGTCCTGCCTGCGTCAGATTATTCGATCATTGTCAGGGGTCAGCTTGGGTCAAGTGTTCTGGGGCCCCGTACACAAACTGATCGTAACACCATTGTCGCTTTATAAAACCTAGCCCTGGCACAGTCAAGCTCGCATCTGGTGGTGCGAGTACAGCCCTGCTTATGTGCGTGGACACAATGTGAGACAATTGTTTCATTTCTATGGCCTTTGCGATTATATGGTTGAGTGTAGCAGTTAATGTCCCGAGGCTGCAGCAATATGTAAATATGACCATTTACACAGCTCTCGACAAACTCATTCCCTTGCTCATTCGTTCTTGTTATATAACACAATGACGGAGCGTAGAGGGATGAAGGTTGCCAACATAGTAAGGCAACAGTGATTATATTAGCAATATGGAACAGAGCAGGGGCAATGCTGGGTTGATTACGTTAAGTAACAACGGCATTGTGTGCTATTAATGTCTAGTGTAACATCTGCACTGTAAAACCCGTGGCTGCATTCACAACGTATTCCAGGACACTTGTGAATAACATCTGCATAAATTAACCCGGCTCGAAATCAACTGGTCTTGGGTTGGAGTGTTCATTCTAACATCTGCATACCTACTCATTGTGTTTATTCGTGCATATATGATCATGAGTAATCGTGTGTGCATGTGCGCGCGTACGTGCGTGCGTGTAAAAGCCACAACAAGGTCACTATTCTCCGGTCGGTATGGTGTTCAGGATATTTTTTACTCGTTATAATGTCAAGTTGACCATATCCGCCTTCAACTGGGAGAAATACCTATTTTCTATGTGTGTGAACGTCCTCGTGTGAGCGATTAGGGCCCTCGGATAACAGACTAAAATCGATCAAGAATCCTGAAATGAGAGAATAACAGACCAAAATCGATCAACAATCCCGAGAGGAGAGAATAACAGAGAGCTGACTAAATTCGATCAACAATCCTGAGATGAGAGAATAAGAGACTAAAATTGATCAAGAATCCTGAAATGAGAGAATAAGAGACTAAAATCGATCAAGAATCCTGAAATGAGAGAATAACAGACTAAAATCGATCAACAATCCCGAGAGGAGAGAATTACAGACTAAAATCGATCAACAATCCTGAGATGAGAGAATAACAGACTAAAATCGATCAACAATCCCGAGAGGAGAGGATAACAGACTAAAATCGATCAAGAATCCTGAGATGAGAGAATAACAGACTAAAATCGATCAACAATCCTGAAATGAGAGAATAACAGACTAAAATCGATCAATCCTGAGATGAGAGAATAACAAACTAAAATCGATCAACAATCCTGAAATGAGAGAATAACAGACTAATATCGATCAAGAATCCTGAAATGAGAGAATAACAGACTAAAATCGATCAAGAATCCTGAGATGAGAGAATAACAGACTAAAATCGATCAAGAATCCTGAAATGAGAGAATAACAGACTAAAATCGATCAATCCTGAGATGAGAGAATAACAAACTAAAATCGATCAACAATCCTGAAATGAGAGAATAACAGACTAATATCGATCAAGAATCCTGAAATGAGAGAATAACAGACTAAAATCGATCAAGAATCCTGAGATGAGAGAATAACAGACTAAAATCGATCAAGAATCCTGAAATGAGAGAATAACAGACTAAAATCGATCAATCCTGAGATGAGAGAATAACAAACTAAAATCGATCAACAATCCTGAAATGAGAGAATAACAGACTAATATCGATCAAGAATCCTGAGATGAGAGAATAACAGACTAAAATCGATCAAGAATCCTGAAATGAGAGAATAACAGACAAAATCGATCAACAATACTGAAAATCGCAATCTTCACAGCCAATCCACTTGGAGCAGAAGGCAAATAGCTGTGAAAATTATACGAATGGACCACTGAAAATATGTGATGACACCAGATGAATGCGAACATTTTCAATAAAATTGAAATTCTGGAATGTTATGATAAATTTTACCTAAAGTAAAAAGTACATTCAACACACGTGAGGCAGCCGATCCATGAGCGGAGCGATAACTGTTCCCCTGTGATCACGGGGTATTATCGTTACTAAGCAACCATAGGAATAGAACATGTTCAATACCTGTGCAGGCGAGCATGCAGATAGAGTTCAGTCAGAAACGGGGCGAATTTGTGATCCTGCACGCATAGAGGACGCAGCGCACACTAACGTACTTAAAGCTATTGTCTGGACTTGGAGTTAGGGAAGGGAGGGGGAGGTATGTCCCAGTAATCACCATACCTGTAGGATCCTACTACATTAAGGATCGGGTGTTAACGATGTCTCTCCTCGACGATTGCATGTCACCGTACTCGACGTCGAGAGGTTTTTCTCGACTGTCAGCCACTAAATTGCTTGGCAAGACCTCAATGTTTCACAGAGCATCTTGATATATATGTATGTGATGTAGTAACTCCTACACTTGGGTCTTCATCTGAGGAGTGAGTGAGTGAGTGAGTATGGTTTTACGCCGCTTTTAGCAATATTCCAGCAATATCACGGCGGGGGACACCAGAAATGGGCTACACACAATGTACCCATGCCGGGTCTTCGGCGGGACGAGCGAACGCTTTAACCACTAGGCTACCCGACCGCCCCTTCATCTGAGGAAGGGAACTATATACATATATGCAGAAAGTCTCCACTGAACAAAAGCCTTTAGAACTGCATATCACTTAATCAGCTTGCAGTCGGTAGTTCTCGGTCATGGTTGCAGCCGGTTTGGGAATAACTATGTAAACCTCCCCCATCGCAGGGTTGGGGGGAATTAAGGGCCATTGCTGTCTAAACATTGAAAACAAGCTCTGACCTTGTGAAAGGTCAGATCAGTCAGCTGCAGGCTCATTTATCAATTAATCTGCTTTGTTCAGTCTTCAAATGTCGAACGTACGTGCCAGTAGATTTGAAAGCTGTTAATTTCATTTCAACATACATGTAGTGTTGATATGGGGTCCATTTGCATTTCTAATCTGCGTTTGCTATCTGCATATCTCAAACCCAGCAGCTGTATCTCCACGACAACCACACCAGACTTGTTGTGTCTTTCAAGGTTGTAGAACTGTTCTGTTGCACTACTCTCAAACTAAATTTCAGAAATGTGGAATAATAGCCATTTTTGTGGAAACACTTCACAACAGGTGGCCGTTTTG